GCCAAGATTTTATTTAATCGGTAAAAATTGTTTTAAGTGATATTTCTGGTGAATGAATATTCCCTTAAATTTACTTTAAATAACCCAGATTTTTTTTAAATCAGTAACAACTTTTTTAAGGAACTCACTCACTCACTTTAAAGAATCAAGACTTTACCTAAACAGTCAACAATCTTGTAAGGAATATCCATGTTAACTGGTTACTCCTTTTGATTTATTTTAAATAATCCAGTTTATCTGATCCGTGAAAAATTGTTCTATGTAATATTCCTGTTGAATGGTTACTTATTTGGGTTTAATTTAAATAACATAGATTATACAGACACACTAAAAATTGTTTGCAGGAATATTTCGGTTGAATGGATATTTCTTTGGGTGTACAATTTTTCTACCCTTTCAGACATTTATACCTTTTGAAGAAAAACAAGTTGGGTGAGTTTTTACTGTATAGACATCGTATCTATTTGTATGTATTCTTTGCCCGTCCATCAAACTACCTGCTAGATTGATTAAAAAAGAATCTAGAAAATAATTCTAACACAACTGCGTAGTATTATATGCGGGTAGTGTGATCTCGAATCTTATTAAATAAACTTTAAGTTATTAGACTATGAGTTCTTTTAAACGATTGCAATCAATCGATTGCATTATCTTAAATTCACAGTATATTAAAATTAAAAATAAAATACTTAAATAGTTGCACACTCTTCTGATGTATAAAATTAAATGTTAATTAAAACAAATTAAAATTATATTTAAAGAATTAAAGTTTCATTTAATTTAACAAATAATATTTAATTTAACAAATAATATTTAATTTAATTTATAAAATTTACATTATATATAATAAATATTTTAAAATTTTTAAATAATTACAAAAATATATAAGAACCACACAGAATATATGAAATTTTATTACACAATAGAAAAAGGTCCTGAAAATAGGTATCATCCCATCGTTTTAGAGTGTTAGTTTTAAAAATTGGGATCATAAGTTAATATAAAAACTTATATTTTTAGTTAAATTAGAATAGAATTTACTAAACACATATTATTCGTTATATAAATTCATAAAGTATATAGTGACTACTCCAAAAACATATATGTGTTTTACGGTTGTTTTTAAGTCAAAATTATAATGTATTTTTAATGTAATATTACTTTGGGCTTCTTTGTTAGGCACTATAGAAGCTATACCTAAGGAAATCGAATATTACTAATTATTATAAATTCTATATATAAATTTATTAAAAATTCCGTTCCTAATACTCTTTATCTGTCATGTCATTTAAATTGCAAATTTTTCTTAAAATAAATTAAATTAAATAGTCTTTTTATCTATTTACTGTATTAGTTATAAAGTAATTTAGATTCACAAAGATTTTTCCATGTAATTTATAGTATAATTGTTTGTAGTTATAACACAATAAAATATAAATATATATTAAATATTAATATAAAGAATATATATAAAAATATTATACTAAATAAAAAAATGTTAAGATACGTTGTACCATAAAAGTGTAACAAAAACATTCTGTTGGAACTTGAACAAGTCCACCTTTGTCTCTCAGTCTTTCTTTATTTTTTTTTTATATTATAAAGATTAAAAACTATTTATTTTTTACTATACATAATTATTAGCATAATTATATATACAGAACATAATATAACTTTATATATTTTTTTAAAAAGATCAAATAAAATTTTATAATTAATTTCTTGGAAAAGTAAAAACAAAAATAATTTATCGAGTTTTTCATACTGACTTCGATTTTATTTTAATTTTTATTTATAAAATGCAAATTAAATAAATACAAATAAAATTGTTTTGAAAACTACTAAATTGTTTATATTAAATAATGTTTTAAGTATGTCAAGCTCCTTAGGTAATGAACGTCATAACTGAAAACTTTTTAATAAAGTTAACATATATGAATATTAATTTCTAATATATGGGAAGCATCAAAAGAATCCACGGGATCATGCTTTAATGCACACC